TCCCGTCTCGAAAGAACCACGCGGTATAAGTATGGGGCTTCCATAGAGGTAATCCTACATCTACAAATACTACAGTGATATGCTTAATCCAGGTCATGTTCTCATCTACAGGGAACTCTACTACATCGTGTTCGGTGTGCATTGGTGCCCCAAAACGCTCTGGCGGCGGCGGCGGAGGAGGATTCATTGTTCCTGCAGGGGTTTTGAAATGTTTGGTTGAAATAACCATGAGATTATATTTCAGTAAGTACACCCCTAAACCCCACCTAGGCTATCACGTACCTCCAGAAAATTACAAAACACAATCACACGCCCAAACATCATATAACAGGCACACAATCAGTACTTACCTGGCCTTCCCAGTGTGTAACCTGCACATTAGCCATAATTTTATATTTTCCAATCACATGCACGTTCGAATCGCATGTCATACATTCACGCTTGCTTCGTCACATTCTTTTCCACACCACTTGCCAGTGACTCGCGTAATGGTACCGTTTCAGGTTCACTGCGACCAACTTATCACAACACTCCAGGGCTCGCGTAATGATACCGCCTCAGGTCATGTATCTTGCCCGCGTAGTGGTATCGCCTCAGGCTCAACATCCATTCTCCTAGTGCACAACCCGCGTAATGATACCGCCTCAGGTTGGCCATGTTTTCAGCACTCCTCGACCCGCGTAATGATACCGCCTCAAGCCATGTATCTTGCCCGTGTAGTAGTACCGCCTCAGGCTCAACACCTACCACCTACGACACAACCCGCGTAATGGTACCGCCTCAGGTTGACTGTCCTCTAGTAATACTGGGCATCGTCCTACGTAGTCGTACCGCTTCAGGATGGATCAATTCCCACAACCGCACATGCCACACCAAACACAATTTCTCGTTCATTCACACACTTAACACTCGCTTGCCAAACAAGTTGGTCAATCACACGTGGCTCGTGCACGCATCAATTCACACACAATTTCATGCTTAATAAGCATCCAATATGGCCAATCGATAATTAATTCAATTTGGTCTGAGCATGCACATAGCAAAGCATATTTCAATAAATCAACCACACACTATTGCACCCAATTTCATCACCACAGATCAACCACAGTTCAAATGCACAACCAACATACAAATTGGCATTTTTCCGTGTCTAGACTACGTCAAATCAGTTCCGGCTCTCACGACATTTTCCCCCAATTACTCGCCGGTTCTAAATATTCAATTTGCGTACCGAACCGAGCATCACAGCACTCAAATCAACCACCCACAGCCCGCTTTCGACCTCAAAATTTCCACCAAAATTTCCCAAATTCAATCCTAAGGCCTGCTAACCAATTCCGCTCCTAAATCGTACAATTTCGCACTTCATTAAACCCGATTTCACCCGAAAATTGTCTGTCGATACCCGACGTCCTAAATAAGGTTTAGGGCGCGACTTACCAAAACTCTAGACTAACTCGGCTAGAGCGGAAAGCGGCAGCAATCAATAGGGATAGCGGCGAACGGCGAGCGGCTTGGGCGGACGGCGACGGCAAGCAACGACGCAGCTTCCTTGGCCGGCCAGCTCACAGCCAAGAGGGAGGGAGAGAGAGAAAATCGAGAGGGACGGCGTGGGGTGGCGGCGGTGGCGCGGCACGACGGGCGTGACTGGCGACGGCGGTGATCGGCCAAGAGGAGAGAGAGAGCTCACGGTGGGGGGGGCTACCATGAGGGAGAGAGATAGGAATTAAGGAGAGAGAATGGGTCTTGGACCTAAATAGTTAAATTTTGACCAAAAGTGGCAAATTACCGTCTTGCCCCTCTCTCACAACCAAATCGACGGCCCAGATTCGATCTTATCTTGAAACCGACAGCCAAAATCGAATTTTTCCCAAAAATATCCAAGGGCAATTTGGGAATTTCATAAAATTTCAAGGGCAAAAATGTCCAACCAAAAATTTAGGGCAAAATGACCAAAATGCCATTCCCTCTTAAAACTTGCCCTTTATAACTTCCCAAGGGTAAAATGGCCACTTTTCTATTTTCTTGTCGAAATTGAATTTTTCTGAAGGATTCGGGACAATCCAAAATTGCACGTTCCAATCACAACGTCGTCTTAAGGTCCCGTTGTGACTTCCTAATTTTCCGATGTCCAATTTGTGCTCAATTAAATAATTAAATTTTATTAAACACAACTCGAGTGTGTCTCAAACTAACGGGCAGCTTTTTGGGGAAATTCACATATTTGACCAGTGACTGATAATAATTTGAGTCACGTACAAGTTCATTCGGTTTGTGACGACTTCGGTTGTCATTAAAATCGCAAGGATGGATCACTAGATCCGAGGGACATGATCGTTTGGTATAGGTTCAGGGCCATTCATCAATTCAGTTCGTGGTCCGGCGGAATCACCCGCGATCCACTACTGTGACAGTGGCGAACTGACCCCTGGCTATCCTTGGATCGGCCAATAGTGGCTCAAAATGTCACCTCAGCGATTTTATTGTTGAAAATCAATTCACGATCGAATTTCCTCTTAGTCGCACGAATTTAAATCCCTCATTAGCCTTTCTCTAATGGTTAGTATCCCAGGAATGATCAGTTCCGAGCGAGAACTAACTACGAGTACATTCATAAAACCCAGTATTTCATAAATCCCAAATGGACAAATTTTCATGATATCACAACAATACATATTGGGTCAAAGTTCAAGGATCATTTGTGTTGTTTTCCCAAATTCTTATATTAAAGTCAATGGACAGCAATAGCAAAAGGGTGAAAATATAGCCCACAAATTTTCATTTCATGTTTTCACTAAGGTGGCGATTCGGTAGGTAAGTTCTTCTTGATATTTATATCTTTTCTTTTTCTTTTTCTTTTTCTTTTTTGGTATTGGAGTGTTTTTTTGGTCAAATTTTTGGTATTAGAGTTTTTTTTTTGGTCTAGTGTATTAGAGTTGATAGGCGATATTTAAGACTAATTTTGTTTTTAAATGTCTTTATCAAATTGGAAAATTAAATCTTGCCATTGTTCCTTTTGTAAATTTTCAAACTAGAATTAAAAGTTGATTTCACATTTGACCATACAACAAAAGATCTTCAATGATAATATATCCATGAATAATGCTGTAGACAAATTACCAAGACTTGGAAGGGATGATTTGCTTTTTCAAATAAACTTGAAAATGAATATTATTATTTGGCACTCTCAACGCTCGAGTCTTATTGAATGAGTATGTGTAACATGTAATAATTGATCATTTATTTTAACTAAATATGAAAAATATATGTACCATCTAATTATAAATCACTTTACATATTTCATCGAAAAAATTGAGTTTTCTACTAATGAGTTTGAATTTCGAATTAATGTGATTGATAAATCACTCACAAGCTAAATGAAGAAGAAACTATCTTAAATTAACCATTGTAGTCAATCTAACTAACTAACAAATTAATGTATTTTATTTTAAAAATTCGATATATACCCTTAATACAGCTGCCAAATAGGATCTCTAAAAACTTACCGATTTTCACAAGGAATGTAAATGTCTCAACAATTTTGCATGTACAGCTTGGACATTGCAAGCATGTATAGGTGGGTCCACTTGACTTAACTAAAGTGCAATTTAGGCCGTTCGCAAAAAATATTGTTATGCAACCAAATAGGCGTAAAAATGGGCTCTTCCATAGGACTAATACGTCGACTTTCTTAGATGTTTTTAATCTCCTATAGTGAGGTATTTAGAACTATCTTCGATAATTTGACTCAAGTACATGCCTGATTTACCCTTGGTATATAATTATTGGATCCTCCACTCACAGGTAAAAAATTAATTGTTCTTAAAAGAAAAATTAGTCAAATTAAGTATATTTAGTTCTTTCAAGGTTGAAATGATATGAATAAGACTTATTCATTTGACCCAAATAATTCCTTTTTTGATTTGGTTTTTTAGCCTAACTTTTGGTTGCTTTAGGTGACTACACCCTTACTCTACCTAAAGTAACAACGCAATCTGCACCCCACAGTTTCCCAAGGAAACCGGATGACTTTTTTGTCTAGTTTTATTGGGAAATCAATTCCCTTAAATAACAATTTTTAGCTAAAAGTGAGTTTAAAGGAAAAAAATCAGAATTATTAATGATCGAAATGCAAATAATCACAAATATGAAAATGATATTTGGTTGATTTAATTCATCTATTACATTTGCATGTGATTTTTTTCTTTTATTTATTTTTACATCAATCTTCGATCACATTTTAAAGAATTATACTTTCATTACTTTCCTTTTATATGAGTTTAAGTATCTAATAGCTTTCTGGTATAATTATTAAAAAATATATGAAGTTATAAGAGTTAGATTCTATACTCATTTAAGATAACATAAATTCCTTGGCCCTTATTGTCATGATATCTTCATATTAGCATCTTTAATTAAATAATTTTTCCCAACCAATCTTGTAATATTTTTTCATCAATTCAATTAGTATAAAGGGAACTCCATATAAAAAAAATTAAGAAAATTGGTTTAAGCATATCTAATTCAAGAAAAATGTGATATTTTGATAAATAACTACTAAAATACTATGTTCCAGTACCATCTATTGGTGTGCAATTAAAGCTAATAAGAGCCAAGTAAAATTTCTTTTTTGCAATGAGAGACTAACTTGTTTTTCAATGTGTACATAAAAAAGCTTAATAGTGGTGTACATGATCATAAAACATTAAAAAGATTGATAGCCATAATTCATATCCTCCGTATACCTAATGTTCACTTTTCTCATTTAGTAATTCTTAGATATTAATTCATAGCTATTATTAATAATGAAGAGATGTGAAAGAGAGAAATGTGAAATTTTGTGTATATTGTGATGTTTATATTAATGAAGAATACATTAGCCTATTTATAAGTTTTATTAGATTACTATTCTAAGATAATATCTCAATCAAGATAATGTATAATCAAAGGGAGATATACGTGGAACACATGTGCAACATTCGTGCAACATGTGTGCAATCATGAAAGATACAAACAGCCCCGCCGGTCCGTTCGCCTCGCCGCTTGCCGCTGCTGTTCCAGCCGCCAAGGCCGCCACCAGCAGCCGCCATTTCCGCCGTGAATCAGCCCGAACCGCCACACCAGCAGCCGCTCCCTTCGCCGCGCTAGCCCCACCGGTCCGTCCGCCTCGCCGCTTGCCGCTGCTGTTCCAGCTGCCGAGGCCGCCACCAGCAACCGCCATTTCCGCCGTGAATCAGCCCCGAGCAGCCTCGAACCGCCACACCAGCAGCCGCTCCCTTCGCCGCGCCAGCCCCGCCGGTCCGTCCGCCTCGCAGCTTGTCGCTGCTGTTCCAGCCGCTGAGGCCGCCACCAGCAGCCGCCATTTCCGCCGTGAATCAGCCCCGAACCGCCACACCAGCAGCCGCTCCCTTCGCCGCGCCAGCCCCGCTGGTCCGTCCGCCTTGCCGTTTGCCGCTGCTGTTCCAGCTGCCGAGGCCGCCACCAGCAGCCGCCATTTCCGCCGTGAATCAGCCCCGAGCAGCCCCGAACCACCACACCAGCAGCCGCCCCCTTCACCGCGCCCGTTCGCTGCTCGCCGTGCCGAGCCGGAAACCACCGCGGAGCACCTGGTCGTCGCCTTAGACTGGTAAGTTAACCCCTTATCTCTAGTTTACTGTATTAAACTTGTTTAGGGTAGATTAGATTAAGTTTATGTTTAGTTAAGTGAGATTAAATGATAGGATATCGGAAATTTTAGTGATAGGTTATCGGTATGCTTGATAAGTTAATATTAATTTAGGTGATAAACTATCGGTGCACGTGGGTGATAAGTTATCGCGAATGTGGTGATAAACTATCAATTATTTTATTATTATTATTTATTTTATTAAGTAAAAATATTTTCGGAATTAAATATTATTATTTTATTATTACAAAATAATTAAAATAAATAAATAAATATTTTAATTTTGAAAATTAAAATATTAATATTTCAAATGATTTTTAATATCGAATTGTGATCGTTTATGTTTGGATGGTGATTCCGAAGTTGGATTTCACCGTATAAATTAGCATATTTAGCTAAATGATTGGATTGATTATTTTCGGAATTTAGTATTATTTTATTATTAAATAGATAAATTTCGGATTTAAATATTATTATTTTATTATTAAAAATAAATAAAATAAAATAAAATAAATATTTTTATTTCGAAATTTAATATATTAATATTTCGAATGATTTTTAATACCGAATTGTGATCGTTTATATTTGGATGGTGATTCCGAAGTTGGATTTCACCATATAAATTAGCGTATTTAGCTAAATGATTGGATTGGTTATTTTCGGAACTTGGTATTATTTTATTATTAAATAATAAATTTCGGAATTAAATATTATTAAAAAATAATTAAATAAATAAAATATTTTAATTTTGAAATTTAATATATTAGTATTTCGAATGATTTTTAATACCGAATTATGATCGTTTATGTTTGGATGGTGATTCCGAAGTTGGATTTCACCGTATAAATAAACGTATTTAGCTAAATGATTGGATTGATTATTTTCGGAATTTAGTATTATTTTATTATTAAATAAATAAATTTCGGAATTAAATATTATTATTTTATTATTAAAAATAATAAAAATATTTTAATTTTGAAATTTAATATATTAATATTTCGAATGATTTTAAATACCGAATTGTGATCGTTTATGTTTGGATGGTGATTCCAAAGTTGGATTTCACCGTATAAATTAGAGTATTTAGCTAAATGATTGGATTGATTATTTTCGGAATTTAGTATTTTTTATTATTAAATAAATAAATTTCGGAATTAAATATTATTATTTAATTATTAAAATTATTATAAATAAATATTTTAATTCCGAAAATTAATATATTAATATTTCGAATTATTTTTAATACCGAATTGTGATCGTTTATGTTTGGATGGTGATTCCAAAGTTGGATTTCACCGTGTAAATTAGCGTATTTAGCTAAATGATTGGATTGATTATTTTTCGGAATTTAATATTTATTTCATTATTAAATAAATAAATTTCGGAATTAAATATTATTATTTTATTATTAAAAATTAATTTTAATAAATAAATAAATATATTAATTTTGAAAATTAATATATTAATATTTTGAATGATTTTTAATACCGAATTGTGATCGTTTATGTTTGGATGGTGATTCCGAAATTGGATCTCACCGTATAAATTAGCGTATTTAGCTAAATGATTGGATTGATTATTTTCGAAATTTAGTATTATTTTATTATTAAATAAATAATTTTTTGGATTTAAATATTAATATTTTATTATTAAATAATTGATTTCCTAAATTAAATATTAATATTTTCGGATAATTTCTAACGTCAAGTCATAACGACCGATGAGGGGTGTCGCGCACTCGTGGGTTTAGGGGTGTGACATTGCAATTCCACAATTTTGATCCTCATAATTTCTTATTCCCCCTATTGATCTCACTAATCCATTTGACATTCACCTAATCAATATTGGTGAAATATATTATCTCGTGATCATGGATCAGTCAAATTGTTTAGTTGCTCACAAATGAAAGTCATTACGTAAGTTGCTACGAAAAAAAAAATTACATGGCTACGTGGCAATTATTAATTTAGATTTTCTTAAAAAATTGTAAAATTTTGATATTGAACAAAGTGGACAAGACTCTTCTTTTAACGAGTTTTAGTACGGACCAAGATACCCCTTTTTTTATTTATGAAAAAGAGAGGAAAATAATATTTTTGGTATTACAAAGAATATTAATTGTGAATTTGTGATGAATCAACATGGTTCAAATAATTACATTGCTATGCGTCGGAAGTGAATAATGTTTAGCTAGGCGAAAACGTTGTTACATGTGCCGCCGGCGGCCTTTTGCTAATTGGTTTTGTAGGTTGGGAGTTATAAGGGGTGGAGTGATTGTTGACATGTTTGTTTTGCAGGTTGGTGTAAAGGGTGTATATGTGTGTGAATGGAAAATTGAAGTGTTATTTTGATATCAAATGTCGTGCATGCTTTTACTTGCTTTAGCACTACACCTTGCACACACAATCCGCGATCTAAAACCCCGATCGCCTTAGGAAGCCCATAGGAGGTGCCAAAAGTGTGGAAACCGTGTGGGGAAGGACCCATGGCTATCCCCTTTTGGTTCCGCCCATTTTCAAATAGTGATAAAGAGGACTGTCCGACGTAAGTGCGGAATGGGGAAAACTCTTTTGATCTATTTGGGATGGAGACCTTTAGCCTTTAGAACTCCCACCTTTAGTGAGCCTCACGAGTCGGCATGCGAGTTGTTTTTGTGTTTGACATATCCATCCTTTTTGGCTAAAGGTTTGTATCTCGTTCACATCCAATAATCGCAACCCTCTTTTCCATGCGAATTTAAATTTACCTCGTACTAAATAGTGATTGATTTAAATGCCCATAGGCTTAGATATCATGGGCCTCGACGAGCTTCGGATCCTCCCGATCCCAAAGCGAGTGTTGTTGGACATGTGGGATGCTCTTGACCCAAGCAAGAAGAACTACGTGGAAAAGAAGATCGGCCACCTCCTTTCTCTTTTGCATATAGAGCCCCAAGTGACATTGATCAAGGCCTTGGCCCACTTTTGGAATCCCGAAACCTCGACCTTTGTGTTTGATCGTCACGAATTAACCCCGACTTTGGAGGAAATTCAAATCATCATAGGCAATGTCCCTTCCCTTAATGTCGTCGATCCTTCTTTAGGTGTGGATCCTGTCCCTCGTTTGAGTCAAATCCTAGGGGTCACGCCGCCCGAAATTAGGACACTCCTCAATAGAAACTCCAAAGGTCTCCCACTAGCTTTCCTTGAATAACGATTCCATAGCTTCCTTTCGAGTCCTAGAGCTGAATCCGCTAAAATCTTCCTATTAGCCTTTTTTGGGTTTGTCATCTTTCCATTCACTCAAAAAACAATAGACCCCATTGTCATCCATGTTATCGATGGGATCATCGTTCCCAAAGGGTTTACCAATATGATCCTCGCCGAAATGTTCATCTCTCTTAATCGCTTCAAGAAGGACAAGCGTGTGGCCCTTAGAGCCCCTTTAGGTATTCTCCAAGTCTGGTTTGAATCTCACTTGAAACAATTCGGTGGAAACTTAGCCATTTCTCATGTTAGTAAGGACATAAATCTCCTTACCCAATTCAAAGAGATAGAAAAATTCCTTCGTCCTTGGACCTTTCGTAATTGGGTAGACTTCCTCGAGAACCTTACACCTAAACAAGTTCTTTGGCAAGCCCTTTGGGTTCATTTTCCTAAAGTATGTCTTACAAGCGGCCATAGTGACCCAATTCCACTCTTAGGTTTGACGGGATCGACTTCTTATTATCCTTTAAGAGTCGCTCGTCAATTCTATATGCTTCAAGAAATCCCTCCTCCTCTAAAGTCGGGTTTATTTCGTTTTGATTTTCGCAATGGGGTTGTCGAGAGAGACCAACTTGAGGAGTTGAGCAACGAGGTGAAAAGGATCATCGACATACTCTACCGTTGCCAACCGAAGGATGTGGAGAGAGCCACGGACTTGGATGGATCCATGAAGGAGCACCATGCATCGAAGGAATACATAGCACGACGTGTCGAGCCCGAGCTCGCCATCACCATCCCGAAATTTCCCGTGATTGCAACCCCCAAGGAGACTCAAATGGGGCGGATCATAAGAGAAAGGGATGAAGCTTTGGCTGAGGCAGAACATTGGCAGAAAGCTTATAAGTGCGTCCGCAACATGCTATGAAGAGGCCCTATATTCAAGACTAGTCATGTTCTATTAGTTTCTTTTAGGGTGTTCTTTTAATTATCTTGGAATTGATGTATATCGCTTTTTGTTTTCATGAACTTTTAGAGCAAATGTCTAGGTATGCTTTTACTATTCAGCGACTGTATAGGGATTTCTTTTCACAAATTTTGATGTAATTAGTGAAATTCCCTCTTTTGTAGTTTGAATGGAACATGACATGGGCATTTGAATCAATCACTATGTGTTACTCCCTTTTAATTGTATAATTTCTTACAATGAAATTCTTAAGAAACTATTTACACGAGGTGCGGCTTGTGTAAAAGGTTTCTTATTTCAGTTTCATCGTAAGGAAATATAAAATTAAAAGGTGTCCCATTTCCATTCTCTCGCTTCACTGTGTACTAATTTCGATCTTTTCGTTTATTTTACGAACTAGGTCCCGAAACTATGGCTTCGTGGCAATCACCTATTCGCACACGCTCGAGAGTAGTAAGGATGAACATCGAGGAGCAAAATGCCCGTTTCATCTATTCGCGACCTACTCGTCCCGTCGACGATCGATGATCGAGATCGGGTTTAGGCCAAGAGGTATTTGTTGATGGACGTGAACAGCGATTGATTCATTTGAAAGATAAACCAAATGGTTCACTAATCCAAAGACCGAGACACTCCCAAGCCTCATACCTCGCGCGACGAGAATTTAAAAAAAAAAATTACGCATTCAATTTGTGACATCCCGAATTTCGGCCCATTTTTTGGGATTTATAAAACGCGTAATTTGTCAGTGTGCTTATAGTAAAATCTCGCCCGGGAACTGATCACTCCTGGTTATCATTTTAAATTAGAGATTACGCTAGAATCGCACTCGATCAAATTTGGCCGTTATTTGGATCCCGAACTTGGCAGTCGATTTCCGGGAGTTTCGGGACAAAATAAATTGGACGGTGTCAATATTATGGTAGCCAACGTTGAGATTGTCAGGAATGATGGAAAAATGGGAGTTTTTGACCACGTGCGAATTTGGACTAGTAGACCTCCCTCGTTATGATTTGGTCTAATTAATTTGGCCTTTGTCCCTTTTTATGTGCGAGGCTTATTTTGGACCCGTAGACCACTTTCGATTTTTAATTTGGGCCATCGGATCGCGATTAATATTTGAATGTTCAAATATTTTCTTTTATTCTCTCTCTCTCTCTCTCTCTCTCTCTCTCTCTCTCTCTCTCTCTCTCTCTCTCTCCTCTGCCGCGCATGTCCTCTCCGCGCACGTCTCCCCCTCGCCCACGTCCCCTCGCCTCACCCACCCCACCCACCTCGCTCTCTCTCTCTCTTCGTTTCTTTTCCTTCTTTCTTTTTCTTTTCTTCTTTCTTTCTCTCTTCTTCTTCTTCCTTCTTCCTTCCCCGAACTCGCCCTGGGTTCCCGCTCGTTCTCGCTCCGCTCACCGGCCGCCGCCGACCGCCCATCCAGCCTCCGCCCGACGCCACCCTACCAGCCGCCGACGCGCCGTCCTTCCTCGCACCGGGCGCCGCGCCGCCGCAGGCCGTGCGGGCAGCCTCCGCTGACGCCGCTTCCTCCCTCCCGAGCGCACGAGCTCGGCTCGCTCCGCCGCCGCCGCCGAAGCTCGGCCGCTGTCGCGCCTTCCGCCAGCCGCCGCCCGATCTGCCGCTTCTCCTCCCTCGCGCGCGCAGCAGCCGAGCTCGCCGCTGCGCTTTCGCGCCCGACCGCTGCTGTTCGCCGGCTCGCCGCGGCCGCCTGCCGCGTCGCCGCGCTCCGGTGCCGCGGGCCGCCGTCGTGTTCCACCACAAACAACCGGCAAGCCCCCTTCCTCCCCTTTCTCTCTCTCTCTCGGTTTGGCCGTGAGAGGCCTTGAGCCGGAGGAGCTCCGCCGCCGCCGTCACCGTTCCGGCGCGGATCCGTCGCCTCGCCCGGCCGTCCAGCCGTTCCATTTCCCTCTCTATCTTTGACCGTGCCCCTCTCTCTCCCTCTCTAGGCCGTGGATTAGCTTAGACCGTCGCCGTCGCTCGCGCCGTTCGCCGGAGCCGCCGCCGCCGTTACTGTTCCGGCGAAGGACCGCCGCTGTCCAGCCGCCATTACCACGTGTTCAACTCGGTTTGAAGCTTAGGACATCCGGTGAGTTTGACCCTAAGCCCTAATTAGGACAATTTGCATTTCTAGACGGGTTTTAGGGGTTAATTAGGTTAATTTAGGGGTTAAACGGTGGAGGCTGTTAGGGGCTGTTATCGTGGCTGTTTTGGTGGTGAGTCGTGATGATTTAATTGAGATTTAGAGGCCCGTATTGTGCTGTGAGTCGGCTGGGCATGGGTGCTTTAATTTCGGATCGAATTTGTGGATTTGGCGGGAGCAAATTCGAGGATCCAAACGGTGAGGCCGTTATGGACTGATTTTTGTGGCACATTTGGTGACCGAGAATGATGATTTAATCGAGGTTTAGTGGTCTATAGAGTGCTGTGATGTGGCGAGGCATAGATGCCTTGATTTGGGCGAAATTGTGGACTTAGCGGATGAAATTTGTGGACCGTATGGTGGCTGATTTTGTGGCTATTTTACGGGCTTAGTGTGACAATTTAATTGAGGATTAGTGCCCGTAATGTGCCGTGCGATGGCTGGAAGTATTGGATTGAATTGGTCCAAGTTTGGAGTAAGTTCGGGTTCAATTGTGGATTATAGTGCGCGCCTAGTTTGGTCCTCATGGTGGCTGATTAGGTGATGCTTTGGGGAGTTTAATGGGAGTATTTTGAGGTATTTGTTGGCCTAGAATGACCTGCTTGGTGGCTGTCCATACCGGGATTTAATTGGACAAGGCGCGATCAATTTGAGGCTTGATTGTGTGATTATCGGGAATAATCGCATTGATCAATTGACTGGCTAAATGAGCCTTGTTGTGATTGATTTTAGGATGCCATGTTGCTTGTTTAGCGGGACTAAGAATGGAATAGCTTGGCGGGCCTCGAATGCGAGGGTTCTTGTTATCCCGGTTGTGTGGATTGTGCATGGATTGTGTGTCAAGTTGATGTCATGGCTGATTTGAATTGATTGTCTGATTGGGCATGTTGATTTATGAAATTGAATATGCGTGGTGCAAGTGCGCATGATTGCATCGTGATTTGAGTAAGTGGTGCGGTGCAAGTGAATGCCCGAGTGTGAAGTTTATGGCCATGAGTTTGCATCACGAGCA